ATTCCATTGTCTCAAATTGAAACTCCTGTGTATCATATAAATTCTTGATCTATTATTGCCATTAGGTTCATTAAAATATTTCATGAATACAATTTGTTAAAACATTTCTGTGGTAATGCCTGCAAGAGATAATAAAGTAGATGTTGATTCTTGCCGCTGGTGCTCCCACTTTTTCTTATTCCTCTTCAGTTTTTTGTGGGCGTGGTTTACATACAAGAGATAATATTGCTTTGTTTATTTATTTATTTAGTCTTTGAAGAAGAAACATGGCGTTCCTGTCTCTTATAACTGTGCTTTCATGGAGTTGGCTAATGCCATTTGTGCAGAACAAGTGGATAAATAAAAGCTATGATATAATACAACGAAAAGCAATGGAATATAATTTCCCTTAAACTGAATATGTGCTCTTTTTCTTTTTCTTATTCTTATTTTCATTTTTTTAGAGAAAACTTATTCAGTCTACCTCATAACTATTATGCTAAGTTATCAATGGTTTGATTGAGATATGTCGATTCTTCAACATCGTATGAACCCTGCCCAAGTTTGTGTTTGTTCCCATCCTAAAATGGTTTCTTTAGGAAGGCACGAATTTCATGCAAATAGGAGGATTAATTTTTGCCAGAGCAAGGATGGCGGCAGGGAGAATCCAGAGCCCTTCTCCACATATTAGACCAGAAGCAACTGTGGGAACCATTAGCTCAGCCTTCCTGGTGTTGAGCTTGTGCCACACAAACACAACCAAAGTCCCTACGCACATATCTATTGCAAGGTATGCCCCAACTAGAAATGGCAAAGCCATTGCCATTGGCAGTGGCATCCATTTCCCCATTTTATGTGGACTAAAATCTCTCACCAGATTGACCGCCACTGCAAAGGCAAAGAAGCCGTAACACAGCTGCAAGCAGTGGTGAGGAAGAGCTGAGAAGCCCTGTACACTCAAAATCGCCATGTTTCTGTAGATCAAGGCATAGGGGGCTTCAAAATTTCCACTGGGGTTTCCAACATCAAACGCCTTGTAGAATAGGAAGAAGCTTAGAGGACCCATCACACAGCCAATAGCCGTCCCTATGGCCTGGCTTAGGATCATCGCCCTTGGGGAGGTAAGAGTGTGATGAGCTGTTCTAAAATCTTGCATCAGAATGCAGGAAACTGTGACAACAGATTTGATGAGACCACACCCAACAAGCCCTGCAACAATACCGTTCTCTTTTCCAGACAATGCCCCTAGCACAAATAGGGCGACTTTCCCATAGTTATACCCCATGTTCATATCTGTGAGACCAGCTCCATAGGAATTGCAGAATGCCAGAGATGGAGCTAGAATGTAAGCCACAACGACATAGTACCATTTGAGCTGAGGGAACATGAGTGGGATGAAAATGATTGACGTGATGGAGAAAATTATATATCCAACTACGCTTATCCACATGGGGATGTTCTCTCGGAGGAAGACTTCATTCTGTTTCAGATCCTTACCCTCCTCTGTCTTCTTCTGGACATCCATGTCTGCAGTGACTAGGCAAATTAGTAGGCATTTCTAGCAATAGAAACAGAATATCAAAAAAATTAGTTGTCGTTCTGGTTTGCGCCCTTATTACCTGTCTTGAGATTTTTGTTCTTCGACCTGCCATAGATGTTAATAAGAGTAAAGCAAAGTATCTTAAGGAAATTGTACAGCCCATCCCCCAGAATCAGAGCAACGGATACAAACGCCTGCCATGCAAACCAGGAAATTATTAGACAACAGACCTGTGTGAAAAGGGCCATATTAGGTGACGGAAAATTTTTGAGAGATAGAAGTAGGAGAGACCTTATAACCATATAAGCCTTTCATGCTGCTTTCCTGTAAGTTCTCAGGAAACCAATCTCCTTTAAGCCGACCAATGAGTGGCCACATTAGTCCATAAGAAAGCACAGCTCCAAAAAGCAAAGATAAGTTCACAAGGTGAGAACAGATCATCCCTGCTCCAATGTATGTCATGTTAAAGTCGAAGAAGAACCTGCAGAATAAATTGACCAATCAGAGATATTTCAATGAGTTATACTCTAGGCTTGAACATGTACAAATGACAGAGACATGTACATACGTCTGTTTCCATGCTTGCAATCCGAAGGTGGGAAACTGTGAGAAACCACATCCCTCTTTTCCTGAGAAAAACCACTGGAAAAATCCCCATAAGAAACTGATGGAAAAGTACTTAGTGAATGCTCGCACTTGTTTCCTGCAAAAGACAAGATGAACATGTATTTCAGGTAGGAATGTTTAGTAGTTTTTGAATGGTGATACAGTATTTGCTTAATTTAGGTTCCTACTTGGCCATATTGTCCCCCTGGTTGTGGAAACCTTTGATAAGAACTGCAGTTGCCATGCCGGTTGGATATGTTAATTTAAGATCCACAATCAAGGCCTGCGCAACAGGAGAATCTCCATAAAGTTGAATTTCAGGAGCGAACAATATCTAAACTCCAAAGAGAAATGGTAAGAAATATACCTTTCTGAGGGGAATTAAGACAAAAAGCCCAACAAAACAGATTGTGAAAAGGAAGGCAGTCATCCACCCAAACCCTGGTTCCTTGACAGCCCTTGGAGAGTTCCCCTCAGTGTCTACTCCTGATAATTCATATGTCTTCTTGTTTAACGCCAAAAGATATGAAGAAAATCCACCTGCAATAAAAATTATAAAACTAAAGAACTAATTAAAAAACTCATACAAAAAGTGAACCAAAAAAAAAAAACTTCAGACCTCCAACAGCAGTGCTGTAACATGCAACTGCACAAGTCTGTATCATGGTGTTCTCTTGTTGAGTGAATGGCTTTGACATGATACCAGCTTTTTTTAAAACTTTGGTCCCTGTCCGGATGAATATAAAGGCTAGCAGAGCAACAGAGACGTTGAGATGAGGAATCATGCCGGCAGTGAGGCTCAGCTTCATGGCTATGACACTGTAAATGCTTCCAATAAAAATACTTACAAACACTCCTCTCAATGTGATCTGCTTTGTCCAAGGCTGTATCTTCCTCGAAATCTCAGTTCGTTCTTCCACTTCTTCCTGGTTCTCTTGCTTATTTTCTTGGCAATCTTTCCTTTCTTCCGTGTTCATAGCTCCTATTGAATTCAATTATCTATGAAACGTGTATAAAATACTTTGTTAGCAAAAATAAACTCAGCCTTTCTAATTCTAAAAAAAGAGGGAAAACAGATTCATATGGGTATTTCCTCTGTGTAATATGTCTCACCTTTCGGTGGGTCTCCTTGTACCTCTATCTTTGAGCAGATTGATTAGAGATTTACTGTATGGGTATACAATATTGAACAAGTTGTCAAGCACGCAAGTGGTTCTTTGTCTTTTTCTTTCTCTGACGCTTGGAAATTATTGCATGGTCTGGACACTGGACACTTAAATTATTGCATTCAGCGAAACAAGATCCTTGGAATTTATAAGACGATCATCGGCCTTTGTCTTCAACGTCAAACCCCACCTAACAGTGTAAGGATTTCTATCTTATGCCATGCCTGAACTTGAAAACACTTGCTCTTTGGCAGCTTATACTATTTTCTTTCTTTGACTTCAGTATTGGTGGGTTTCATTACATGACAAAAGATAACCCCTATTTCAATCTTCCTTAATCCAGAATAACCTTCTAATCTAGGAGATTACCATCTTGACATCAAGTCATCGATGTTCACTTCAGTTGTTCTTGTCATTTTACATAGGTTAAATGTTAATTTGGTCCTTCAACTTTAAAGTTTTGTGCAATTTTCATCCCTTAATATTTTTGTGCATTTTTTTTATCCTTAACTATGAAAAATGTAATTTTTAATCCTTTTATCAATTAATCTATTAAATATATCTAAATTTGCATTTTTTTAGTCCTTCAATTTAAAGTTGAGGGATGAAAAAATATGCAGATTTAGATAAATTTAATGGATTAATTAACAAAAGAACTAAAAAAGTATAGTTTTCATAATTAAGGATAAAAAAAGTGCATAAAAAAGTTATGGGATGAAAACTGTGCAAAACTTTAAAGCTGAGGGAACAAAATTGGCATTTAACCTTTTATATATAGGGCAATAATTACTCAGATCAGGAAATGTGGGGATTTTGATTGTGGGATCCTCCGTGGCTTTCATCTGTGTCTTAATATTAGGATTTGATTATTCTTAAATTTATTGTAGTTTTATTTACACCAATTTGAGTTTACTAATGGCGAGAATGCAACACAGGTGGAGTAAGAGAAAGCTGTGACATGAAACAATGAAAACCAATGAAATGTATTTCCATTGGGGCTGGATACAGAATGTTGCATTGTATTCCTAGAAAACTAATTTGCCCTATCTCATACTGCAATGGTACACATTATTGGAGGAAAGTGTGTGGATGAGACCCTTCCTCAATCCCAAGCTTTTATTGCCCTTTCTTAAATGGTTACTCTAGGAAGGCACAAATTTCATGCAAATAGGAGGCCTTATTTTGGCCAGAGCAAGAATGGAGGCAGGGAGAACCCAGAGCCCTTCTCCACATATTAGTCCTGATGCTACTGCTGGAACCATCAGTTCAGCCTTCTTGGTATTGAGTTTGTGCCACACAAACACAACCAAAGTCCCCAAGCACATATCAATTGCAAAGTATGCCCCAACTAAAACTGGTATTGCCATTGCCATTGGCAGTGGCATCCATTTCCCAATCTTGGGGGGGCAGAAATCTCTCACCAGATTGACTGCCACTGCAAAAGCAAAGAAGCCATAACACAGCTGCAAGCAATGGTGAGGCAAGGCTGAAAAGCCTTCCACGCCTAGAATTGCCATGTTTCTGTAGATCAAGGCATATGGAGCTTTGAAATCTCCTTCAGGGTTTCCAACATCAAATGCCTTATAGAACAGGAAAAAGCTTAGAGGAGCTGTCACGCAGCCAATTGCTGTCCCAATTGCCTGGCTCAGGAACATTGCCCTGGGAGAGGTAAGAGTGTAATGGGCTGTTTTGAAATCTTGCATCAGAATGCAGGAAACAGAAACAACAGATTTGACGAGACCACACCCAGCAAGCCCTGCAACAACACCATTTTCTTTACCAGATAATGCTGCTAGCACAAACAGGGCTACTTTCCCGTAGTTATATGCCATGTTCATGTCTGTGAGACCAGCTCCATAGGCATTGCAGAATGCCAGAGATGGAGCAAAAATGTATGCCACTACAACATAGTACCATTTAAGCGGAGGGAACATGATGGGGATCAGAATTATGGACATGATGGAGAAAATTACATATCCAACCACGCCTATCCACATGGGGACGTTCTCTCTGAGGAAGAGTTCATTTTGTTTAACATTCTCATCTGTCTTCTTCTGACCATCCAAATCTGCATAAATAAGGCAAATTAGTGGCCATTTCTAGCATGGAAACAGAACACAAAAAAATATCTCATGGTTTAGCCTTGGGTTTGTTTTTACTTTTAATAACCGAAATTGATGGTTGTGGGGATTCTACAAGAGGACGTAATTCCTTATGAATCTAATAATCCTGATAAACTTAATCGAGTACAATAAATGAGCAGGAATAAGTAGCGTACCACCTGTGACGTTACCATAAAATAATTAAACGTGAAAAATGGTTGCTGATCATATTACCTGTGTCAAGGTTTTTATTCTTCAATCTGCCATGGATATTAATGACGGTGAGGCAGAGTATCTTGAGGAAGTTGTACAGCCCATCCCCCAGAATCAGAGCAACAGATACAAACACCTGTCATGCAGACCAAGAAATTACTAGCAAATAAAACTAATATTTTGACCCTCACCCTCTTAAAATTTTAGGTTAAGTAGCATTAATATCTTCTTTCATCAAGTAATCTAGAGTTCTATTAAAATTTTGCAAAAATTATGAGAAATAAGACCTTGTAACCATATAAACCCTTCATGTTGCTTTCCGTTAGATTCTCATGAAACCAATCTCCTTTGTGCCTATCGATGAGTGGCCACATCAGTCCATAGGAAACCACAGCTCCAAAAAGTAAAGATAAGTTAACAGTATGTGAACAGATCATCCCTGCGCCAACAAAGGTCATGCTAAAATCAAAGAAGAATCTGCAAAACAAATTCATTAAATCAGATGTCAAGAAAGAATCAAGTAATGTTCCAAGCTTGAATAAGTTTCCCAAAAAAAAAAAAAGGGAAGATAGAGACAGACGTTTGTTTCCAAGCTTGCAATCCGAAAGTAGGAAATTGTGAGAAACCACATCCCTCTTTTCCTGAGAAAAACCACTGAAAAAACCCCCACAAAAAACTGAATGAAAAGTACTTCATGAAACCACGCACTTGTTTCCTGCAACAAAAAGTGTTTCAAAAAGATCTTTTCAGATTTGATTCTTATGTATTTTGAGTTGTGTGATAAGAGCAAAAAAAGTTGCTTTGTTTTGGATTCCTACTTGGCCATGTTGTCCCCTTGGCTATGGAAACCTTTGATGAGAACAGCAGTTGCTAAGCCACTTGGATATGTTAATTTGAGGTCCACAATCATTATCTGTGTGCATCAGCAGAAGCTTGATCAGTCATGGTCCTAAAATGATATTAAACTGTCTAGAATTCTTGAGTTGGAAGAAAGTTGCATAACTTTTTTCGTTTTTAATTAAATTTTTTAAGAAAAGTTCAGATACACTACCTTTCTGAGAGGAATTAAGACAAAAAGCCCAACAAAACAGACTATAAAAAGGAAGCTAGTCATCCACCCAAACCCTGGTTCCTTGATAGCCCTTGGAGAGTTCCCCTCTGTGTCTACTCCAGACAATAGATATGTCTTCCTGTTTAATCCCAAAAGATATGAAGCAAATCCTCCTGCAATATCCAAATTAGAAAAAAAAAAATTAAAAAGGTAATTATATTAAAAGAAGAAAAAAAACCATCAAATTTACCTCCAACAGCAATGCTATAACATGCAACAGCACAAGTTTGTATCATGGTGTTCTCTTGTTGACTGAATGGCTTTGACATAATTCCGGCTTTTTGAAGAACTTTAGTCCATGTCCGAATGAATACAAAGGCAAGAAGAGCAGCGGAGACGTTGAGATTGGGAACTAGACCAGTGGTCAGGTTCAGCTTCATGGCTATAATACTGTAAAGGCTCCCAATAAGAATGCTCACAAGCACTCCCCTTACTGTGATTTGCTGTGTCCATGGCTGTATTCTCCTCGAATTCTCAGTTCCTTCCTCCACTTGCTCCAAGTCATCTCGCTCCTTCTCGTTGCTCTCTCTGATTTTATCCATGTTCATAGCTCTCATTGAATCAAGTTACCTACAAAGCATACAAAAAGCACTTTATAAGTAAATTAAATTCAGGACAAATCCTTACTACTAACAAAGGAAAGAAAAGACAGATTCTTATATGTATATGCAACGCACAATACTTCCTCTGTTTCCCGGTACATTATGAAACCGTTCAAATTATTGCATGCACGAAAACAAATTAAGATCCCTTTTAAAGATGGTCTTCGCCTGTCCTCTTCTTCAATCTAATCTTCACTAAATCCCTACCTAACATGATAATATCTTACCTATGTATGCTTAAATCTATTTAATTGAATATCATGCAGTTGAAAAAGTGTCCAAATGACTATGATTTCCTTAGCAATATAGGAGATGGAGAAATATTTTGCAGGAAGAGAGAATGCTTGGTATGGAAGGTGGAGTACAGCATTCATGTATGCATAAATATAATATGATTTTCTTTTGTATAAACACTTTGGGAGTTCTCGAGAGGTACTGAGCCTGACTAAAAAGAAGACTTTATCAGTGGTTCTCCTACCTCTTTTTTTCTTGGCCATTGAGTTTGTTAGGATAGGGCTGTGCAGGACAGATTCTTTCTTAAGTTATTTATTTATTTATTATTATTATTAATTTCTTAATATCCAATAATCATATTAAATTTTGATTAATTTAAAATCGAATCATATTAAACCCCATAAGAAGAAGATCTCCAATATTTTTTTTTATTTATAAAACTTAAACTCAAAATTTTACTTAAAGTGAATCAAATTTATTTTATTCGAACCAATAAATCA